CCTTGGTTTTGTGACATGTATATTTTGTGACATGAGGCAACTTGTTACTTCTTGCATGGGGTTGTTTTGGATTACCTTCATATTGCCCATGAATAAGCATGCATAATCTTGATCTTGAAACATTCCAATGTTGAGTTAGCTCTTAAATATTTTCTTTGGATGTTTGCAAGCATAATGTTGGACATGTAAACTTGTTGAGCATGAAGGGTACCATAGCATGAAATTGATTAGAAGCTTGGATTAAGACTAGAAGTAGCTTAATTTTCCAAGCATTACCAAGAGCTTGAAACTTTGTAACAAATGTGACACTTTTGCAAATGTCATGAAATTTCTCTTTGTAATATTCTTGAATCTAGTCTTGAATTCATGAATCTTGAACTTTGAATGATGGATTCCCTTATGTCATTATATGAATTCTTGAATTATGCACTTGTGATCTTGACTCATGCTTTGCAAATTTGAACTCCACTTGATCAAGAATTTGAAACAAAGTTGGATGAAGCAATCTTGAATTAGGTCTTGCATTTCATGTTCATTAAGAATATTTATCTTGAATATCCCAATATTTTTCAAGTAACTTCTTCTTGAAGTAATCTACATGAGTAGACCTTCCAACTTAGATCAAAACTTAGGTGATGAACATTTTCTTCCATGCATTCCATGATAGGAAATTTATCTCATTTGAAATGGAAAATAACAAATCGACCCAATCTATACCTTATGAACCCACATGCTCGATATGTAATAGAACGATGTATGATATGGCGAATGTATGGTATAAAGGCTAAAGTTGAAAATGAGGGTGTGACAGGCGGGATTAGTCGGATAAATTGGAGAAGTTGGGAATTAATAAAAATTGGAAATTTCATTTTGTTTCATTTCATTCTAAATCCATTGTATTGCATTTTCATTTTTATTATAAATCATTTCTACGCCAGTTCTTAAATTTTATTTTTATTTCATTTTCAAATAATTCATTTCATTTTTATTTCATTTTAAATAACTTTGTATCATCTTAAATATTGTTTCCACTTCACTTTTTTATAATATTGTTCTCCTTTGCATTTGCATTTTTATAATTTTATTTTGATTGTTAAATTGATATTATTTCATGTTTCTAATTTATTTATTTGTTTTCATTCATTTCATTTTAAAAAGGAAAATAATAATAAAAATGCATTTCATAATAATTATATTTCATTTTTTTTTATGACTAATCAATTTCCATTCTTTCATTTGTTACTTCTAAAAAATAATAATAATAGTTAAATAAATTACAAAAATACAAAATTTACATAAAATAAAATAAAAATTCTAAAGTCCTAAATTTTCTTCCGATTTCTCCGACTTTCCGACTCGTCCGATTATTCCTTCCGAACCTGCAAACAAAACAAACAGATAAAGTTTTATCGGGTTAGTTTCGACACCCTCAGAACGGTATCATCATCGGGTGTTCGATTCTCGGCCTCAGCCAGAACCGGCAGCATCTGAGAAAATCACTTTTGGAAAAAGCACTTATCCAGAAAAGCACTTTTGAAAAAGCACTTCTTCATGGAAAAGAAGTTTTTCCCAGACAAGGTCAGATTAAGTCGCGAATTTTTCCAACGGCAGATCCAAGCCCAGTCAAAACATCTAAGTAAATCAAACCAAGATTTTTCGCACCAGAACAGTAAGAATTAAAACGCAAATCCCGGCGAACTAAACTCAGTCATAGCGTCATCTCCTACAATAAAGTAGCAACCAGAACGAATACGAACGAAGGCCCATAAATCCAAAGGAGATATAAAAATCATCAAGGTCAAAACAAAAGGGGAGAACCCTAAGACAAGAGAAAACGGCAGCTCAGAGATCTGGTAACGAATCTTCATCATCGCCGAAGAGAGGTTCAGAAGAGTCCGTAGACCCATCATCATCACCCAAACGGAAAGAAGAAGGGGAATAAGGACGAACCCATCGGCGGCTCAAAAACGGCGTCGTCAATCATCCGTTAGGTCTCCCAGTACGCTCGAACTCAGACGAATTTTTACCGCCATCCTTGTTCATCGGCCACTTCAAACCCAAACGACGAAATTTTCAACCGAAGAAATCCACCAACAAACCGGATCGGCGGCGGCGGAGACCCTAAGGTTTCGACATCGACCAATCCTCACCGGCAGGCGAATCCCCTTTTGTCTCAGTGGAGCACATCATCGGCCGTAAACACCGTCAAAAATCCAAATCGCGGACGAAAGCACCAAGGAGGCTCTCAAGAATCACCGACCGGAAAAGGGGTAAGAAGAGGAACCGTGATTTTTGTTTGTTTTGTTTTGTAGGTGATAAAGGTACGAAGAATGAAAGGGAAAAATGCAAGCGGAAACGAATCGGAAAAGCTTTGAGGAGCATCACAATGGCGCTGCGACGACGTGAAGAGGGGAAGAGGGTGAAGAAACCCTAATGAAGAGAACAACATATACTGACCCCTTTTGTTTTGTTTTTCGTTTTTGTTTTTATATTTTATTTTATTATTATTAATTATTTTGTTATGATTAGTTAGTAATAAGAGATTAGTATAAATTTATTTTATTTGAATTAATTAGTTAATTAAGTTTTTGTACATCTAAATGTTGTAATATAAAAAACATTTTTATTTTTAAAAGAAAATTGAAAACATTTTTAATTCTTAACGAGTATGTTTTAAGAATTAAATTAACTTTTCCTGTTAAAACCAAAAATAATTGTTTCCTTTATTAATAAAAGATTAAAAAGAAATTTAATTATCCCCTTAGTTAAAAATTCAAAAAGAAAATAAAATCTCCTAACCGCCCCTGTTGATTGTTCATCTAACTTTTATCGTCTCTTGTTCGGCTTTGGCTAGTAATCCTTTTGGCTTCCGTAGTACTTTTCATGGATGTAATTTACGCGAGGCCATGGTCGCAGTTATATTTATTTTTCGCATTTTTTTGGGGACTTGTAATTTACGCGAGTGGTCGTCGCGACGCTTTCTTTATTTTCCGTATGTTAATTCCGCTATATGATAATAATTTGCCATATCTTGCATGATTAGCCATTAGAATTCTTCCGAAGGATTAGGTCTCACCGTTTGACCACCGAGTCAATAGTCCTAACCCTTGACCGTTTCAAAATCCTAATTAGCTTAGGTGTCCCGCCGTGGACGAGAATGCCCTTTACCCTAACTTTAGGTTAAAGAGTCGCCGTATTTTGTTTTTAGGGTTTCCCGCCGTGGAACATTTAGTCTAACCTAATCTTAACCCTAATTTCAATTCAACATTTCAACGTAGAAATAGGAGTTTCAAAACTCCACGTAAGCGTGTCTTTAAGATACGTTTACTCCCCTTGAAACCTTGACCACAGTCAAGAAGTTTCTAACCTCCCTTTCGAGAGGAACTACGATTACTCTAATTCCATTCCCTATCCAGAATACGTAGGCACAAGATGCGAATCTTGCCGAGTAAACTTAGGACTAACCCTTAGGTCTTTAGGTCACTCTATCCCTTAGCAATATATATCTCAAACAGATAATAAAATAAAAAGACATACATTAAACAAAAGATTCCTGTAGAGTACTACAGAAGTTTATGGTGCTAGTACCTTCCATAAGCTTAACCAACCTCTTACCTAGGTCTATCCCCGCATTGTGTTTACGATGCAAAAATAGGTTTTTCCTCTTTTGACCTTTTCCTTCGGATAAATCAAAGAGCGGTTGTGAATTAAGAAGTGTGATTCAAACTAATTAATAGTTTGATATCCTATTTCCACCGCAATAGGATCCTTACCACCCTATATGGAGATCAAAATTTTGGGTAATGACATGTTTGACTGTCCTTGTGTATTTTAATGTTAATTTTTTTTGAGGTAGATGTAAGGAGGCTTAGACGGGTTCCTTCATCGTGCTCCCTTAGGAGCCTAAACTTCTGGAAATGGGAGTTCGGTGGATTCTTGTGTTTGCTCCTTTAGGAGTCTTAAGTTTTGGCAAGGAAAGTCAAGTGGGTTCATGTGTTTTCTCTCTTAGAAGTTTTTAGTTTTTGCAAGGAGAGCTTATACCTGACCAAACACATATGATTTATTCATAACATCAAGAGTGCCTCATCATAAACCCCAAGCATTATTAATGAGGGTCGCCCTTACATTCGTCGAATGATAAGGGGTTGATGTTAGGTATGTTTGTCTGACTCGAGCTAGTTTTACCGAGTCTTATGATAAACATAAAATGTACATGCTGTATACACTAATTGATAACTCAATCGATGTTATGCCAGTTAGATTTGTATTATTTATTTGAGTCTGAATAGTATCAAAGGTTTGTACTTTATGTTTGATAATTATTAGTTTATATATGACCTTCTCTGATTAGATTCATTTATGACTAGTTTATTTGTCATCATGATACATGTCTCTTTCCTTATCTGAAAGTAATAAAAGAAATTAAGTCATTTGTTTCCATGTCAACCTTTTAAGGTTATTCAATGGCTTAAATGCTCGGTCTAGATGTATATGCTCAGTCTAGATGTATAATGGATATTGACTAAACGAATGTAGTATATAGCCTCAAATCAACCTCTTGACCTAGTCCATTAAGAAAAATGTGTATCTGTCCTTTTCTATAAACAAATTGGTCGAGGCATATTATATTATGCCCATATTTAGATCTAACCTAGGTGTTTTTAGGTGAAATACCGAAATGTACACATTCTGTCAAACATATGATCCGAAGGAGTGAGATGCTTTAGAACAGAAATCGAAATAAACACTATCACTCAAATATGAGACTTGAAATGGCCGAGTTGCTTTAGGTGAGAGACCAAAATGTACACAATATTTTTTAGAGATGAATTTTATTAAATTATCTTTCAAAATGACATAACCTTTATCCAATGACTAAAGTGTCTTGAAAAGAATATGTTTAAAAAAATGTATTGTTAACCATGCATAAAATTAAACTAAAATATCAATCAATTACAATCAATAACAATCAAATAATAATACCCATTGTTAATACACAATTAAACAACTAGCCACATGAAGTAGGTTGACCAAAGGGTAACTGCTATTGACGCAAAAGCATACGACCATAGCATAATAACAGAGCATTCACTTTCACCAGATCTAAACAACTGAGCCATAGTTCCTGCCATATCATAACTAGTATTAGTATATAGAATTAATTGTCTTCCATGCTTTGAAATCATTTACAATTGGTGAATTAGAAGTTAAAAATTAACTAGTAAGTAAAGTTATAATATGTTACCTATATTCATAGCTGGAGGCATTGCATATTGAAGTAAAAGGACAAACTGATATAATGGATCTGGTTGCACCAAACCCAATTTGATTGCACCTTGAACCACTACAACACCTAATATTGGAAGAAAAATATATCGCACTGCTATAATTCCTACAATTGTCCACGTTGGAGTACTTGTTCCCTTCAAACCTGGACCATTCACACATGCAATTTTTAAAAAGATTCCAAAGATAAAAGAACAACTGTATTTAACCAAGTAGCACAATAAAATGTTTACCTTTAAGGAGGTTTGCACCTAATATGAGAGTGACTGTTGGGATGGCTGCTTCACTGAAATTAGTGAGAGAAAATTAATGAAAGTGAGATTTCTTCGTTTGAAGGTACTCCCCTCCTCATAATAATCGGATTTGTTAGACATCGTAACGGGCAGGTTTAATAACGGGCAGGTTTAATTTTAATCATTATCATTCCTATCTTCATCCCAAATCTGATCGATGTAACAATTGACCATTCAATTCCGATCCCAATAGGAAACAAGGGTATACAAGTAACAAAATTATTAAAAATAAAGAAAATAAAGTAAATTTAATAAATTGGAGCAGGGTAGGGGTGAGTGTAGGTAGATACTAACATCTCCTCCCTCGCTCCCGCCCGTAATTAATAATCAAGTTTTCTGCCCATCCACCTCTATTTAAATTGATTTTTCTCTATTAGATTTAGGGCAGGGTGATCGGATCCAGCCGGGTAATATTAATAGAATATTTAATTCTCACTATTGTACTTTTATTTATTATCCTCAACTAAAGTGATTATTCTATTCTACTTTTATTTATTATTCGCGAAAAAAATTCCCCTATCAACACAACTTTTGCCTTTATCATCTTGAAACTTGAAAGATAAGGATTTGGGATGCATACCCTAACATGGCTGCAGAATCTTCAACTACATGAAATGGAGCATCGTTGCCAACCATTAACTTCCTTATTGGGGTGATTACACCAATGCCAAACCCAATAATCTGCAAAAGAAATAAATGTAAAAAAAGTTAGCCTTATTTGAAGATTCAAAGAAAAGCATTCAACATAAGCTATTTTTTTAGCCATTTCTAACAAACATCAACACATGATGCATCAAATGCAAGTGAACCAAAAAACAGGGAAATAAGATAGCAAGATTATTTTCAAGGAAGTGAGAAGAATCATACTGCTCCAATGGTTGATGGTGCAAACACGGTTTTGAAATTGATATTATCTAAAATCTTCTTCAAATGTCGTTTCATTTTATCTGAGAATGAAACCTGAAAAAGTAAAACACCAAAACATTACATTAACTTTTTGTCATAAGACAAATGAAAACAAAAAACAGGAGAATACAAATCATTTTAAAGATATCTATCTATAATAAAATTAAAATCAGTAAGAGAAAACTTGTATGAAACTTTACCTTTTCCTGAATTTCTGTATTTGGAAGCAGTAAAGCATATGCATCTTCTGGGGCATCTTTTGCTGGGTTAAGTGTTTCTGAAATATTATTGTTTTGTTGTGAATCTGATATCACCCCTGAAGTCATCAATTTGGCTTTATTTGATGAAATTCTCATAATGTTATAAACATATGTCCATAGTAAAACTGCTCCAATCTAAAATCCCATTTCAAAAAATATTGAAATATACGCAATTAGAGCCATATAATGTTAAGGAAAAACATATACTACGCTATGACGTACTAACATAAACACAAACACTAGACATGACACTAACACTGACATTATACCATATACACGTTTCACCCGAATTGTCGGTGTTACATAAACATTATATCAGAGCAATTGCAACATGAAAGTTATTAACATTAGAGGAAGCAATGAAGTTGCATACCGCCATAGAAAGTGAGACATAAGCCATTCCATATTTATGACAGATGTCAGGGTCCCCAAAAGGACTTCCTTTCTCTTTACATATAGCTGGAATAATGATTATAGGCAAGTTTCCTAAATTTCCTGTTCACATTAATCTCATTCATTAGCTCAACCAAAGATGCATCATGCTTCGAGTTATGCACAAATTATACATCCCAAATGCAAAACTAACATATAAAATCTATAAAGGAGAAACTGCAATATTTCATTTGTTTGTGTAGAGGATGGTGGGTATACCTGCAGAACAGCAACCTAATATGAGACCTTCCAAGTGCTTTGGAGGTCTCGTAACTTTAATCACCAACCATGCTAAAGCTGAACCTAATATGAATGTGCTAAGAATATTCACCGGCATGAACCACCTAAATGAACCGAAAACTATGAGAAACCATTCATCAATTCACAATATATATTATCATAAATTAGTATACTCACAAAGTAAGAACATTTTCAGATGTTAAAGTTTCTGCCAAATTGCTACCAACCAATGATGGATTAAACACATAAAATACAAGCTGTCAACAAAAGAGTAATGTTGTCATTAGAATAGATAATTTCAAGGGAAACAAAAAAAAGATACAACTTTTAAAGTATATTTCATTAAATTACATTGTTCACTTTACTCCTTGCATCTGCTCCCAACACATCTGTGTAATCTATTGCAAGAAACAATCCAAGTGCAGTTATCAGTAACACTTTTACTACAGGCAATGAAGCAACATACAAAAGCTCCACAAACCCCATTTTCACAAATGTTCAAATGCTTAATCCTACAAACAAAGAAAATAGAACCAATCCTAAGAAAATACGTTCAGAAAATCATAAATCAGTAACAAAATCTGAACCAGTGTTCATTTGGTATATAAACCTTAAACAACTACAGAGACAATGAAAAAAATCCAGAGCCATTTTGTCTCATTTTATAACACTATTCTAACAAGACCTTAAACAGTTATTATGACTCTTGGAGGACACATAACAACAAACACTTGGAGGACAGTTGGATTAATCTAACAGCTGAAATATAGTACTCTCAACCTTAGATTAATCCAACAACTAAAATCTTAAAACTCAATATAAAGAATACTCCAACTCATTTACCAGAAAGCAAAACTTAGAAGTAACAACTTATTACTTCAACAACCCTTTGTAGCCTCTCTATCTCTAAATTTTTCTATCTTTCTCTCTCCTTCATCTTCTCTTTTTATTTCAATATTCTGTTTTTCACTTTTGTTTTTTTCTGGTGCACGAAGCTGTTGAAGCAGAAAATCCAAACAACATATCTCATTGAATTCATTAATCAACATACAAACAAACAAAACAAAAACTAAAATAAGATAAATATCTACCGGTCCGGATACTAGAAACACGACATCGACGGTCACTTCAATATCAATAATAATTTTAAAAATTAAATATATTAAACATAATTACAAGGATCTATAACTCACTTCAAACACTAAAATACTTTTTTTCGGAAGTGTCGGGTGCTATATATAAATTAAATTGCACTGAGAATTAAAATAGTTAATTAGTAGCCGACATAAGGAAGCAATGAGAAAGATTAAACAAATTAATCAACACTAACTTATGATTATAAGCTAATAACAACAAGTACTACAAGTCTAAAAGACTGAACAGAAAAAACCAAAATGCAATTGTCATTCATTTTTCCAAAAACTGAAAAACATTTCCAGTGACGTGAGTAAAGTGAAACGATAACAAGAAAAAGTGATTAAAAAGGAGAGATGATTTTCGAAAAACTGAAAAAGCGCGTTTGTTTTAGGATTGTTGTGAACTTGAAACCATGTTGATGATGAATGAAGAAATTACTAACACGCATCAAGAATGACTACGTACCGAGATTCCGGGATTTCACGTGTATAGATTGTTTGAGAATCGCTTTTGTGATGTAAACAAAGAATGAAGATAGGAAAATGGATATGGTGATTGAACTGATTACGTTAATGGAGCTTCGTAGAAAGGGAAAAAGAACAAAAATATATATATATTCTATAATAAAATATAATATTCAGTTAAGGAAACTTTTCACATATGATGGTACATTATTTTTTTTTAGTTAAAAAAATTAATATTCTAAAGAATAAACTTTTTGAAAAAAAAAAGAAAGAAAGAAGAAAATTGCACTTTCCATCCACATCTAACGCGTAACGAGAATGGTAGTTGACAGTTGTCTACAAAGGCTCATTTAATGGGAAGATATAATAATAACATGATAAAATAACAAAATATCAAAATATGAATATCATAAAATGATAAAATAAACAATATAAGATTAATCGGTAATTTGGTATGCACAGCTTTTCTTGCAAAACTAGAAATTTTTTAGTTTTATTCAATTTTAATACGTTGAAAAATGATAAAGTAAATTTATTTATATCCAAGTGAGTTGTATCACATGAGAATCGTGTTGAATGGATATACTTGAAAGTCTAATGGATAAGTTTATTCATATTTTTATGGATATGCTTTGAAAGTCTTTTTTTTAGATTTTTGAATATTTTACTTTAATAATCCCTTTATTCTGAATTATACCTCATTCTAATAAAATATACTTGATATTTTGTAATATGTCATTTGCTATTATTTATTATTCTATTTTTATTTTATTATTTGTATTTTTTATGCATTCATAAATGCTATTTTTATAAAATAATTTATAATTTCTTTTTTATATATAATACTAACTATATTTATTAACTATGTAAAAGTATTAAAATGTCTTTTTCATTCGAAATATCGACAAACACTTGTAAGACCTTTTTTTAAAACACATGTATTAAATTGAGATTTTAAAGGATGTTTAAATATTGTTAATGATATAAACATCTTATTGTATTCAATTAAGATATTTATAAACTTTAAATATATGATGATTAATCATAGTGTTATATTTTCCATGTTTCAAATAAGGGAGATTCCTAAATTCTTATCTTTAGCGGTTTTGTTCAGGTGACATCCACACAGAATATAAGGGGCTTATTCTTGAGACAAATGATGTGTATTGTAACAATTCAATTTTTAGTAATTAATTACTTAAATTAATTAAATGAATTATGGGGTTTATTTAATAATTGGATGATTATTTATTAAATTGGTAGATGTTTTGAGAGAGGAATTGTGAAGGAAAGAAATTGGATAGAAAGATATATAAAGGAAAAATGGAAAGAAACGAAAAGATAGAAACATAAGAGAAAAGAAGAGAAAGAAAGGGAAGAGAAGAGGAAAAACTTGGATTTCATCAAGAACAACTCTCAAGCATCGATTTGAGCAAGGTAAGGGTGTGAAATATTGTTATCTTAGCAATGTATATTGTTCCGGTATGGGCCCAACCTCGGCAGACCCAATACCACGTACGGCCCAACAAGCGAATCGGGCACGCCGGGCACGTGCATCCCTCGAGACGAGCAGGGCATGCCGCCGAACACAAGCAACGCCCCGACAACCTTTCATCATCCACCACACCAGACGAGCAAAACCGTCCCCGGCTCACCAAAGCATGGTCGTGGTTCCTCCCCTCCACGGGGAGAACAACGCGCTCCGGAGTATCTCGCGAGCTCCCCTCCGCGGGGAGAACAACGTGCCCGGTGCACGTTCTCCACGTGCTTCCCTCCGCGGGGACACGTCATCAACCAACCGCCCACCTCCGAAAGAGCAGGTCAAACCCACTTTTCGGAAATCTAGGAGCAGTTAGACTAGGGCGAAGACCACGTCCTGGTCTTCACTACGCCACGTAAGCCCTAGCAGTCATTTGGGTTGGGCCTGGTCATCCAGCCCATCTCAAATGACCGTTGGCCCAGCGCTGGGGTCTCTCTATAAATACCCTCTTCCTCAAGAGGGTCAGGTAACTCTCTTCTTGCCCTTTTCTGTACTATTCCTTCCACTCTGCCCAACTTCTTACTTTGGCATCGAAGTGTCTTGCAGGTACACCCCCCTCCTCCTTCTCATCAACGGTGAACAGGTAGCCGTCCAGTAGCGCGTGGCCATATCGTGATCCCCTTCTGATCAGGTCAGATCAGTGGCGCCGTCTGTGGGAAACTGAAACTTCCCCGTTACTCCGAGCAGGAAACCAAAAGTTTCACCAAACCTCCACGATCATGGCTAGTCCACACCGCGACGACACTCCGCACGACCTTGCGCTCAACGTCGCCACCAACGGGAAGCAAACAGGAACGACACGTTCGACGGAAGCCGACGAAAGGGACGGGCAAACTGCTTCACCATCATCCACGGAACGGCCCCTCCAGGCCGATCACCGACCACCGAGCCCGCCAGCATTCCACCCCGTTCCCATCCCGGCGGGAGCAGACCCAACGGTGGCCGCTCTCTTTACGGCCATCAACCAGACGAACCAGTTGCTGTTCCAACAAAATGCGAGAATTGGAGCATTAGAGCGCATCGGCCCTCCGAGGTACCCCCAGCGGGAAGACCAGAACGGAGGATCGAGGAGTCCCTCACCTCGACCCAGAAACCGCCGACCGCGGCTAGAGAGACACCGCCCGCAGGTGACACGAGAACGCACCAGGTCCCCGGCAAGACACGTTCGCGTGAGGAACCAGAACACCGCGGCGATCCCAACCGAGGACCCCCGAGGCGAGAACTCAGGCAGGAGGTCGAGAGCCCGAAACCAGGGACATACCTGGAACGACTCATCTCCTCACATATCCCCGGCGCACAACGACGAAGATGATTACCGCACCTCGCTATCCCGGGAGATCATGGCTGCCCCCATACCCCAGGGGATGGAGAAACCGCCGACGCTGTCGACATACGACGGCACCTCCGACCCGGACGATCACCTGGAAGACATCGAGGCTATGCTCGACTACCGAAACGTCCGGGGAGCTATCAAGTGCAGGCTCTTCCCGACGACTCTGAGGAAAGGCGCTATGACCTGGTACAAAATTCTGGAGCCCGAATCAGTTACGTCGTGGAGGGTCTTGAAGGACCTCTTCTCCAAACACTTTACGGCGTCCCGACGTCACCCGAAGACGGAAGCAGTCCTCGGGGCAATCATCCAAGGCCCCGACGAACCTCTCCGAAAATACATCGAAAGGTTCACTCGGGAAGCCGTGCAGGTGACAACTTCCGACGAAATGAAACGCTACTTAATGGAACAGGGCCTGCGCCACGACTCCAAATTCTACGAGGCCGTAGGCATACACCGGCCCACATCCCTCCAAGATTTCCTCGACAGGGCCGCGCATTACATCCGATTCGAGGAGACACAGGCGGCCAACTCCGCTCGCGACACTCGAGACAGGGAGGCCCCCCGCGAGCACCGAGATGACGGAGCTTCGAGCCATCAACGAGGAGGAGACCGCCGTCGGGAAGACCGCCCCCCGCGAACAACGCGAACCATGCGGCCCGGCAGGAAGATTCACGGAGTACACAGCCTTGGTCGCTTCACGCGAACGCATACTGGCCGAATATGCCAAAACCGAGTTCGTTCAGGGAGGTGTCCGTTTTCCGCGACCAACGCCGCCCAAACCCAACTGGACAAGTCAAAATACTGTCGATTCCACAGGACCCACGGGCACGTGACGGAAGACTGCATCCATCTCAAAGATGCGATCGAAATCCTAATCAAAGACGGGAACCTGAAGCGATACACCCGAGGAGGTGAACCACCTAAGCCAGAGGCTCCGGAAGCCAAGAAAATCGAGGAACTTCCCTCTCCAGAGGACAGCGGCAGGCTCCAGGTCGCGTTGTGCGTCAGCCGC